GAACCCTGATAGCCTCAGCTCAAGGCAGCGCCAGGACCTGACTTACCAGCTGCATTTCATGGCCGCCTGAGGAGCTGTGTCTTCAGTGACTGACACTCACTTCCCCTTCCTGGGCGTGGCTTGGCCTATCTCGGAGAATAGGCCAACCAGGGCCATCTCTCACCCTAGGAGCCATGTCTCAGTGGCCTCCTGTCCATTGTGTCCAGCGAGTGTCTGTTACAGTGGGCCTAGGCCCACCCCCAGAGCCTGCTGTCAGTCCCCACATAGCGCTTCAAGCCCCTGCAGCTCTTGGCCTGCTGCCTGGGGAATACATCGTCCAAGGGGGCTTGTTTTCCCTCCCAGTACTCTCTCTCACTCATCTTCTCCCTAGGCCTGTGAGCTAATCAGAGAGAAGGAGGGGGAGGAGGGGGGCGCTGCTTGCCTTCCCCGTTATCTGCAGCAATCCACGGTGACTAATGCTCCCAGTTGGTAAAAAGGCAGTGTAATCAAAACACTTTTTTTTTTAGTCCTTAAAGTTAGTCATTCTCCCAGAGTGGAGAAAAAAAAAAAAAGCCCACAGCAGGCACCATGAAATACAAGCTGCAAGGCTCCCGCTGCTGGGTGGGGCCAAAGCATGGGCTGGGGAGGCTTCCGCAGGTCTGAGGTGGTCCTTCTCCCCGGCTCTGGGTGATCTTTCCTCCACACCCTTGTTTGTCCTTGCTTTCCTTGACATCTGGGCTGTTGGATCCTTGAAGGAAGGACTTCTAGGCCAAGTCAGGAGCCGCCCTTTGCTCTCCCCCTGCCAAGTGCTGCCATCTGCTGGCCCCAGGTTGTCCAAAGGGGAGGACACATAAACTAGCTCCTACGATGAGACTAGCACAAGATCCCGCCTCCTAAGGTGCCAGCTTGTGTGGTGACCTTTCCTCCCATGCCAACCCGGCCATTCAGTACTGGTGCTTCTTTTGACTCCATCTTTTCCATGGCTTGTGAGCCCACTGTACCTTGACAAGAAGCAGAATTAAACATGAAGTGCCTAGAATAGAACCTGACACGTTTAAATATCAATTGTTGGGCTGGGAATGTGGCCTAGTGGTAGAGTGCTTGCCTAGCATACATAGAGCCCTGGGTTTGGTTCCTCAGTACCACATAAACAGAAAAAGCCAGCCATGGTGCTGTGGCTCAAGTGGTAGAGTGCTAGCCTTGAGCAAAAGAAGCTGAGAGACAGTGCCCAGACCCTGAGTTCAAGTCCCAGGACTGGCAAAAAAAAAAAAAAAAAAGAATACTCAACTGTTAACTCATCTTAATAATGAAGTAGCACACATACTATTACCTTGTCTTTTTTGCCTAAGGTAGACATTACTAATCAATTGCAGACACACACACACACACACACACACCCCACTCCCCCACACAGAGACACAATCCCAGCTGTCCTATGGAGCATCCATTTGCCATCCCAAATTTAACCTGGACCCTTCATATTGTGGGTCAAGATAGATGAGGCCCAGGAAAAGGAATGACATCCTCAAACAACTTGGAGGCAGTGCCAGTGTCAGACAAATATTACTGTCTTGCCAGCCTGGATTCTGATACTTCAATTCACCCCAATGTTTGAGAAGTTGGTAGACTTCCAACCCCTGAAATCTCTCACCTTGAGATCTTTGCCTTCTGCCACCCTTGCTTTTCCTCCCATGTCCTTGGCTCCTGGCTGTGTGGGGAACTTTATGATTCACAGCTATCTCGTTGAGCAGGTGCAGAGCAGGGACAAGTAAGACAAGGAATCTATGGAGAAACCTGAGAGTCTGGGTCTTAAACAGCTGCAAAAGTCTCCCTAGGGATAGCATGGTGAAAAAATGAGGAGTCAGCCCTACACATCCTTATGGGAAAGGTTGGGAGAAAGCAGGAGGATGGCAGTCCATGGGATAAGGGTCTGGGGAAAGAGATCATCTGCATATCATTGTAAGTATAGGGAGAGGTCAAAGGTCTGATGGAAGTACTAGCTCTTCCAGAGACATAGTGTTGTGCCACCTGAACGCTCCAGACTCAGACTTGTGTGGAAAAAGCAGTATTTCCCAGGATTAAAACTGATCATGACCTCAGCCTGAAGCAGCTTGACCCTCAGCTTCTCCTCACAAACCCACTTGGCTTCTTCCCATTCCTCCTCTGCAGGAGCGGGATCAACCTGTATTCTTCTGTCCTTTAGGTAGAAAAGACACAGCTCTTGATCATGCAAGCTGAGCTTTTCTGTAGTAGTGGGAGGTGTGAGTGCATTCCAATGAGTGGCTCCCCAGAGATCAATGCCGCTCAGCGTGGCAGGTGCACAGAGGGGAAACTCAAGGGTACACAAGACAGCAGGAAACCTGACTGTCCATCCTCAGCCCAGCATCCTTCAAGATGAGAGAGTAGAACACAAGTAGGCAAGCCAAGCTCAGGTCAGAGCAGGAAGCTCCCAGACACTCTCTTGAAGGCCAGCCTTCTTCCCCTCAAAAGTCTTGCTGACTGTATTCAAGGTGTGAAGTGGGCGGTAAACAACACAGCCCCAGTTGGGCCTCAGGCTGATTCCTTCTCTCCCAGAGGATTCATGTTTAGCTTCATTCCCAGACATCAAACATCACTCAAACCTGCTCACTTCTCTGGGCTTCCTTCTTGTTCAGGACCCATATCAATTGTTTCCTCTACTCTTTTCCCCAATATCCTCTACAGCCAGTATGTTAGTCATCTTGGAACTCGAATGCAGGAGACTTTAGCAATGCTATCTATTCATCCATCATATAGGTGAGGAAACCAAGGTCCAAGAAGGAGAGGTGAATTGTCTGAGGTCAGCTACAGTGCCAAAAACAGAGCTATAGGACTGGACTCATCCAGAACTCATTCATTGCCATGATGTATCATTTTCTTTCTTTCTTTCTTTTTTTTGGTCCAGTCGTGGGGCCTGAACTCTGGGCCTGGGTGCTGTCCCTCAGCTCTTCAGCTCAAGGCTAGCGCTCTACCACTTGAGCCACAGCGCCATTTCTGGCTTTTTTCTTATGTGGTGCTGAGGAATCGAACCCAGGGCCTCAGGCATGCAAGGCAAGTGCTCTACCACTGAGCCACCTTCCCAGCCCCAATGTATCATTTGCATGAGGTATCTGTTACTTCCACCCCCAGACCTGGAAGTCAGGAAGCAACTCCCCTCCCTCTCTCTTTTAGTAAATCCATAGACTATTCCAGCCCCAAGAGTTTATTCTGTTTAAATTTGAACCTTAAGCCATTTTGACATAAGAAAAATATGTGCTTGTTTGTTGTAATTGGTAATGCATGTACATCATATGACATTTTTTTAAAAGATACAAGAGAAAAAAAAAAAAAGATACAAGAGAGTAGATAGCAAATTGTGATTGCAGAAGTGACCTAAGTTAAACTAACACTTTTTGTAGGTATTTATTACTGTGGGTGATAGCCTAGGAAAACAGAGTATGAAGAAAGGAGGAAACAGGCGAGAAAAGTGCCATCCGCAAGTGCTGAAAAGTGCAGCACAACATCCCCTTCCATCCATCATATCCCCTCCTAAGCAGCAAGAACTGACCCTCCTTCTACATGTTCTCTGCCCAGGCTGCTCTTTGGGGATTTTACATCTTTTCTTCTCAAAGCTGCTCTTATGCTCATGTTGGTCTGTTTCCTGAAGAATAAATAACATAGTGGTGAAGCTGATTGGTGTGATGCACCTGGGGAATGGCCAGCCATCTCCTATTGAAAAACCTTTCTGAGTCAAAATGATGAGCCTTCAAGAATGGAAAAGAGCCTACCCTTGGGGTCTGACCTTTGAACTCTTCTCCTCCTCCTGGTAAAGCTCTGTAATCTAGGTCAGAACAAATCATACATGTTTTCTGCTCTAGGTCAGTGGCTCAGCTGCAACCCCAATAACTCCTGAAATACTCCAGTTAATTTGATGAATTCCTAGAGAGGTCTCTTGGGGAGGAACGGAGGGGAAACATGGGCTACACTGCTGGTTCTCCCTTCTTCTAGGACCGGAAGCTACTTGGGTTGAGCCCAGAACTCCAAACAGACTGGAGCCTGTGAATTTTGGCTTTGGGAGATGAGAGGCAAATCTGTTCCTGGCTTGGGCCTCAGTCCCCTTCTTAGCCAAAATAAGTTTCCTCTGGTGGCGCCCTCCCCACTGCTTTATCTGGGATTCACACGCTGGGCATGATTTAGCCTTCATGATTTTGTTTCCACACTGGCTCCTCCCAGAATCCTCACCTACACACCTACAGGCTGCTTCAGCACCTAATTCTTACTTGTTGTTGTAGTTACCTATTTATTTCTCCTTGCAGGAAAGCTACTTCTGGGGGGACATTAAGGCCAGAATCAATACCTTCTTCGCCTGATTATATCTTCAAGGTTAGCACAATACCTGGCACATTGTAGGAGCTCAACTAGTACTCTGTGAAAGGCATAGAAAGAAAAGACTAGGCTTTGTGGAGGAGACCTCAGAAGGAAGGCCTGGAAGTTAGGAAGCAGCCTCTCCTGTGCATCTTTCGTTGAGTCAATCCATAGAATATTCCAGCCTGAAAAGCACCTGTTACTCCATTTATAGTTGAGCCCTGAGCTGTCCTGACAGGAGGGAAGAGGTCTGTGCTTGTGGTAACAGGTGATGCACGTGCGACATACAGTACTGGAAAGACAGAGCGACGGGAAGGAGCAGAGGGGAGGTTCGAGGCCGCCTGCCCTCCGCGGCCGGCGGCTTCCCCTGCGGAGACGGCCACTCCTGTCTCGGGATTAGGGACCTGATGACAGGCTGTAGTGATCAGCCCACGAGGGACCCTCTGTGGGCTGAGGGAGCGGAGTTAAACAGGTCAACGCCGAAGGCTGAGTGGCGTCGCGGCCTTGGCCTCGAAGCTCGGGGCCACAGCGCCGAGGGCGCCAGCAAGGGACACGCCTCCGCGACCACGTGGCCGCCACAGGGTTAACGCGCCCGGCCCCGCCCACCAGCCCGCCTCTTCCGGGCAGAGGGGGCGGGCTCGGCGTCACTTCCTGGAGACTGGCTGAATCCGGAAGTGATCCCGGAGGACCGAGTTGCGGCGGAGGACCCCGGCGGACGGCCCAAGTTCGGAACCATGAGCTGGTGAGTGAAGTCCAGACCGCCGGGACCCCAGGCGCGCCACAAACCCGCCGGTTGGCCAGTGCCCGGCCGACAGCCCGTTTCGGGGTCGTTGCGGGGAGGAAGGGGGTTCCCCCCACCCCCGGCCCGGGACAGAAGAGGGGGGTTCTCCCAGCCTGCCACCCCGCACCTGATCTGTTCCCAGCCCTCCCCTCCGTTGCGCCGGCCCCGGCCCCCGCTCCTTGCTTCCTGGCCTGTGAGCTGTGCCCTGGCGGGGAGCAGGGTCCCCCGCGGGCCCCGCGCCCGCCCCGCGCCCGCCCCGCGCGGCCGCCCTCCCCGTGCTCGCGCGGGCCCCGGGCACCGATGCCAGCCAGCCCCCTCTACACCGCTCAGCCGGCTGCGGAAGACACACCTGCGTCCCTCTCAGAAGGCGCCAGAGAGTTACCAACCCCACTCGTCCTTAAAGTGTGGCCTTGGACGCATTTTAACCATCATCGTTAATGGCTCGTTTGTTTTGTAAGACTCACTTTGTTCCAAAAGCAATCCCTCTTCGTTGCTATGGATGATTTTAGGGTCACAGGAGAGAACCATGGTTTGCTTGCCTTGCTGGGGCTTTCTTAGAGGTCTCTCCTGTCAGACACTTTACCTACCTACTTTACCGCCCTGGATCTATGAGATCCGACTGTAATGCACTTGTATTAAGCTAATAAATTGACCCCCCCCCCCCAGGGATATACAGGTGAACCAACTCTTTGTAGATACTCGAGTTCCATTAACATGGGGAACATATTTGCCATCCTGTCCTCCGAGTTTAACCTGTTTATGCAAAATAAGTGCAAGATAATCAGTTATGAATGAATGAAGATAGTACAAAATCTTTCAGGGCCATCAGTAGAACCTAAGCTCTGTCTACAAGCCATTGATGGCAGGCAGAATCATGGACAGCTCTCTAATGTAAAATGGAAACCATTTCTGTCCCCTCCCCCCCCTTGCTGCTTCTACAAAGATTGATGGACTGTTGTCAGCCAGCACAGCTTATGGAGGAAGCCCTGGAGTAATGCCCTAAACATGGCCTAGCAAGAGTTACTCCTGGTCCTCCACTCTGCTCCAAGAGGATAATGGGAGGAGTGGGTGCCTAGAACCCTAAAAGGCAACTTTGCTGACTTGTTATATTCTAGCTAGTGATGGGCGAAGTGGCAATACTTTAATTCCTTTCCTGGGTCCCCCAGCCTTGTATTGTACATGTCTTATTCAGTGCTACATCTTGAATCTTTGGCTGTCTCTTCCCTAATTTTTCAAAGTGAAAAACAATGGCTTACATTGTTTAGATTGACATTTGCAATTTGAAAACGTCAATGGACTCTGGGTGTGATTACATGGGCCTGTGAGAGTAAATAGAAGGACTGAGGTTCAGGCCAGCTCTGAGGAAAAAATAATAAAAGCAAGAAGGGTCTGGGGCTGGGAAGATGGCTCAGTGGTAGAGTGCTTGCCTTGCATGCCTGAGGCCCTGGGTTCGATTCCTTAGCACCACATAGCAAAAAGAAAAAAAGCCGGAGGTGGCGCTGTGGCTCAAGTGGTAGATCGCTAGCCTTGAGCTGAAGAGCTGAAGCGCCCAGGCCCAGAGTTCAGGCCCCACTACCGGACCCAAAAAAAAAAAAGAAGGGTCTGGATGCATGGCTCTAGTGGTAGAGTACCTGCCTAGCAAGATGAGACACTGAATTTAAACTTAAATATTTCAAAAGAAAGAAAGAAAGAAATATTTTCCCTAATTGGGAGACAAGCAGAGCAGAGGCACTGGAGGTAAACAATTAGCTGGGGGAGCGGAGGTAAATTATTTCTGTCGTGTAGAAAGTTTCTTTTCTGCAAAACAAGAAGCCCATTTGCTAAAACGCATTAGGTTGAGGAGAATTGCCATTGACAGCTAATGCTAGCCGTATCTGTGATTTTTCCAAAGTAGAACTAATTTACCAGTCCGTGTATGACTTGGTTCCTCTCTGGACTGAGGGTCACAGCCAAAAGGGTGGCTTTGTCCCTCAGAACTCAGATTCTTTTCTCTTCTGCCTTAGAGGACTTCTACATCATCTCTTACGTAGACCCTGACCCTCTCTCCCTGAGAGGGGACCGGCACCGGCGCCTGGGCTCACAATCACACTCAGTTCCTAACTCAATGGCTGGCAAAGGAACCAGGGCTGCGTCCTTCTGATTCACTCCCAGAGTGGTTTTTCTGCTCCCAGAATGAATCCGTCCATTCATCTGACACTGGAATTCTCAGTAGGGGAAGAGATCAGAGTGACGTAGAGCCATCGTGGGAGGCTGATGCCCAAGGTCAAGTTCACCAAGTATATGGGCTATGCCAGCCATCATTAAATAAGGCCTAAGGGTACATAGCCTGTGGTCCCCAAAGGGTAGTCATTGTTCTGGACTAGGCTGGGCTTTCAAAATGTCACAGTGAGAAATGTCCAACATTGATGCCCTTTGCACACTGTGGACTTTGCATGAAGAGTGAGAGGCTTTTGTTCACTGCTTCCTCTGTGCAGGCAGCCCTCCCACCCCTGTTTATTTAGTGGATACCTGCCCTGTACCCAGGCAGCCATTCATCTTTCAGCAAGACAACTTAGTGGTCCACCAGGAAGAAAGCATTGGATATTCATTCTCAGATAACTGATTTTCTCCTTAGCTCCAAACCAAATGCTCCCCTTCCTTCTCCCATCTTCCCTCCCTTTGGCTCTCATATCTCACTCTGTTCTTACATGTTGTATTTATTAATGGTGTATATGTAGCATTAAGGATAGTGATCTTAATTTAGCTTAGCTGACCGTGAATTGTAGCTTTCCCTGGAACTGCATACCTTGATGATCTTAAGTTTAAATGATGAGAAATAGGAAGTGCTAGGGAAATCTTCCCTTACCTAGGTGTACAGTAGTTTGAGAGGGAAGGAAATTAGAGACGATACAGGAAGCTTGATGAGGTAAAGTACTGTGTTTCAATTTGGTTTAGTCATTCCCAGTGTGGCTTTGCTTGTCAACCTTTCCTGGTCTTGTTTGCTCTATCTGTAACACGGATTGCTACACAGAGTGTCCCAACAGACACTCTGTTACCAGAGTCTGCAGAAACAAATGGAGGCTGTCCATAAATAGGATTTCTTTCCAGCTTTCTAGGCTCTTTAATTTGTCTGCCCCTTAAATAATGATATCTTCAGGCTTGATCTGCAGCTCCCAGTCAGAACACAAACAGCTGATAATGGACAGATGTTTGGTAGGTTAGGTGTGGTAAACACCTTTCCACTTAAGATCTCTTTAATTTATGATGTATGTATAGGGTTGTAACACATTGTAAATTGAGGAACATCAATAAATATTTGTTGAGTGTGTGCTTATTAAACACTTAACATATGCAAAAGTGCGTCTCAGAGCCAGACCAGCATGGTTATGTTACTCAGGAGACAGAGATCAAGAGAATTGAGGTTCGAGGACTGCCCAGGCTAAATGTTCACAAGAACCTGATCTCAATTGATCAAAGAAAAAAACTTGAACATGATGACACATGCCTGTCATCTCAGCTGCACTGGAAGCGCAAGTAGGATTGCAATCCAAGCCAGCCCAGGCATAAATATGGAGACCCTACTTTTAAAATAACTAAAGTGGTGGGTACTAGTGGCCTGTAATCCTATACTCAGAAGGCTGAGTTCTGAAGATTGCAATCCAAAGCTAGCCCAGGCTGGAAAGTCCATGAGACTTATCTCCAGTCAGCCACCAATGAGCCAGAAATGGAACTGTAGTTCAACATGGTACAGCACTGACCTGCGCACAAAAGCTTAGGGAAAGCACCTAGGCCCCGAGTTCAAGCCCCAGGACTGGCACAAGAAAGAAAGAGAGAATAAATAAAGCAGAAAGAGCTGGAGACAGCCTGCTAGGCAGGTGCCTGCCTAGCAAACGCAAGGCCCTGAGTTCAAATACCAGTCATGCCAAATTAAAAAAAATTAAAAAGCATGTGCTAAGTGTTGGGTGGCATTGGAAAATCTGTGAGAGTTCATATCGATCCTCAGCCTGTGCATGGAAGCTCTAGAGATTTAAAGGAAGGACAGTTGATCACTAAATGTCAGGATGGGACCACCAAGAAAGAATTGGAGTGGGAGGTGTAATTTCAACCGAATGGTGACCTAGCACATATCCTCTTAGCATGGGGAAGGAGAGGGAGGCAGGTGTGAAGAATAGAGTGAGGGAGGGGCTTGCTAGTAGTAACAGTCTGGTCAGTTTGGGGACAGTGAATGAGGATCAAGCAGAGGCTCTGTTGGTGAGAACTGACACTTGGGGCCACATGGTAGGTCCTGGTCCCAGGCCAAAGAATTAAAATTGAGCTTGTCCTGTTGAAGGCTTTTGAGCAGCGAGATGGACATGGTGACTGATGCCTGTCCTCTCAGCTGCACTGGCAAAAGCAGAGACTTAGTCAGATCATCTGGACCACTGTCTTCAGGATAACTCATAAAAGAGAAGAAAGTCATGGAGAACTTGAACAGTTGCTTCCAAAAAGATTTTTTTCCCGCTTTTTTGGTACTGGGGCTCGAACTTAGGACATTGGGCAAGTGCTTTGGCACTGAGCTACATCCCTTTCAACAACTTTTGACCACAGCTAGCAGTCAGAAAAGTCTTTGACATCACAATTCATGGATGACTTTATCCTTGAACCCAGTTTCTGGTACCACTATTTTCCTTATGTCCTTGTTCATATTTTAGACAGCAATTCATTAATTTTCTGATTAGTTTTGAACTGAAAAAAAAAAAAAAAGTCCTAAGTTCCCTCCTTGAAATTCCTGCCTTTCCTTTCTTTCCTCCACCTTCAGGTGCTGCCTCAGCCTCCAGACTTCTGCCACAAGCTCTTCTATGGTTTAGGAGGAAGTCCCCCCTGAGGCAGATAAAACACTTGGGCCAGACCGTAGTGCATATGGACAGCTGTTGGCCTCAAACATAGAAAAAATAATTTCAAGTGTCCTAGCCATTCCCCTGAGTATTCTGTGTCACTTTGGA